ACCCTGACGTCCTAGTCGGTGCCGCTGCGTCGGACAGCGCAGTATTCATCAGGTAATGGCGCTGACTGGCTGCTTGAAGTCTCACGGACTGTCACCGGATTTCCTCCGTGTTTCGACCGGCCGCTTCCTGCGCTCGAGTTCCTTCTTCGTCTCTCATAGAAATGCCACCTTTTTATTTTTATTTTGATATTTCCATTGTTCCTGTTTTTGTTTGTTTGTTTTTCGCAAAACCACACCACGACTTCGCAAAACTGAAAAACCTACGCTTACTAATTATTAATTATTGTGTATTTGGGTATTTGGCGCAAGTAGCCAAAGAATAATCATATTTTTTAGTCTCTCCTCTCACTGCCTGCCTCCGGAGCGTAGCTGAGCGAAGAACTCTTGCGCCGCATCAACCGCGTCTGCTGCTTTCTTGATGTTCAGTCAGCAACTGATGGCTGTTCCTGCGCCCCCCCCCCCCTGCCGCACTTCAGCCGAGAGCTAATCAGCCAAGTTGCCAGTCCTTTTTGCGGGCTTGCGCGTGCCTCAGGAGCACATCCCGCTGCCCGCTCCCTCTCCACGTCCCTTCTCTCACCGGAGGCGCCTTGCCTTCCAGGTCGGCCCCGGTGCTGGCGGTCGAGGGCGCGGTCACCTTCGCCCCGCCCGAGGTCAGCCTCGGCAACAGGTCGTGCAGCGTGGGCGGCGCGCAGGCGCGCGGGGAAGCCGTCGTCTGCCTTCGGGTGAAGGTCGCCCTTGCCTTCACCGCCGGCGGGAGGGCGAAGGGCCAGCGTGAGTACTCAGGGGCCATACGGACATACATGCACACACACACACACACACACACACACACACACACACACACACACACACACACACACACACACACACACACACACACACACACACACACACACACACACACACACACACACACACATACATTCACACACACACACACACACACACACACACACACACACACACACACACGCACATTCACACACACACACATACCTACATACATACATACATGCATGCATACATTCATACATTCATATATATATTTATAGATATGTGTGTGTGTGTGTGTGTGTGTGTGTGTGTGTGTGTGTGTGTGTGTGTGTGTGTGTGTGTGTGTGTGTGTGTGTGTGTGTGTAGATATAGATACATATATATAGATATAGATAGATAGATAGATAGATAGATAGATAAAGAGTTCATATACGTCCTATCGCCGACATATATATATAGCTGCTCCGTCGCCGCCTCAGTGACAGACCTTCCTTCCTTGCAGCCGTCGACGTCACGCTGCAGTTGGACCCCAAGCAAGGCAGACTCGTCTTCGTGAGCGACGACCAGAGCCAGTGAGTGGGGCCGTCTTTGCCTACGCACACGCACACGCATACGCACACGCACACGCACACACACGCACACAGTGGTAGCGTTCTCGTCTAGCAATCTTGCTGATTTACGTTCGCTTCCCGTCCGCCAGTGGATGGCACCCTGGCCATTCCTTGCACACAGGAGGGAATTTAGAAGTACAGTAAACATACAGCCACAATTTAACTGGAGTCACAAGAGTCTATCACATCAAACCCTAAATTATTATTGTTGTTATTAATATTATCACACAATTACATACACACACGCGCGCATACACATACACACGAATGGAAGTGGCCGTAAGCGCTGCCCGCGAGGCACAGAGCAGCAGGTGAGTGAGCCTCCCTTTTCTTCGCCAGAATAACCTACCGAGCGAACCTGAGCGCAGAGGGCGGGCCCGCCGACGTCAGGACGTTTGAGGTTTACGTCCTGGTGAGTTCCCGAAAAGGACTTTTCGGACTGAAGACTCCTAACTTGGGATCCTCGCTTGTTGGGCCTGTGGTGATGCCATGGACTCTGCCAGTCGTGTTTTGCTGTATATTCTATGATTATCTAGCATAAGGACCTCTAAGTATGGGTCGCGAGGCAGTGGGTTCTTACAAAGAATAAATGATATAAATGCATTGATGTCTAATGTATGTAAAGCTTCTGCATCAGAAATCCCTGTCGGCTCGGGAGGCGCACGCAACTAATCTGTGTAGAGAGGGTGGGAGGTTTGGGGGTAGGGGGATAGACGTCCCGTCGAAAGGCTTGATAAACGCAAATAGCTTCTTTGTTTAGATAGAATTATCCTCACTGCCGCCTTTGCCTTCATCAGATTAACTTTTGGTGACAATAACGTTCATTTTAACGCCTTTAGATTCGCTAGACCCAGGTAGATTACTCGTAGTAGTAGTGCACAGACGCACGTCCATCAGCTTACTCAGATCAAAGACGCAGCATCCGCCTGATCTGCCGAGGGAAGGCGTGGAGGAAGGGAGCCTCGAAGCTCCACTCTCCACGCCCTGCGAGGGGACTTCCTCGTGCCTTCGTCGGTGCCTCGGCCTTGATGGATTTCGTATTTCTTTCCCTTCAGCCCGGGCGCCCGCGGATCGACCTGCCCCTGGCGGCCGCGGCGAGCGTGGCGCTGTTGCCC